ACATGATACAGAATTATATGAACATGTTTGCTGATGATGCTAAGATAATAGGAAGGATAAGAAATTTAGATGACTGTCATGCCCTTCAAAAAGACCTGGACAAAATAAGTATATGGAGCACCACTTGGCAAATGGAATTTAATGTTAATAAATGTCATGTTATGGAATGTGGAATAGGAGAACATAGACCCCACACAACCTATATATTATGTGAGAAATCTTTAAAGAATTCTGATAAAGAAAGAGATCTAGGGGTGGTTCTAGATAGAAAACTATCACCTGAGGACCACATAAAGAATATTGTGCAAGGAGCCTATGCTATGCTTTCTAACTTCAGAATTGCATTTAATTACATGGATGGCGATATACTAAAGAAATTGTTCATGACTTTTGTTAGGCCAAAGCTAGAATATGCAGCTGTTGTGTGGTGCCCATATCTTAAGAAGCACATCAACAAACTGGAAAAGGTGCAAAGACATGCTACTAAGTGGCTCCCAGAACTGAAGGGCAAGAGCTACGAGGAGAGGTTAGAAGCATTAAACATGCCAAAACTAGAAGACAGAAGAAAAAGAGGTGATATGATCACTACATACAAAATAGTAACAGGAATTGATAAAATCGACAGGGAAGACTTCCTGAGACCTGGCACTTCAAGAACAAGAGGTCATAGATTTAAACTAGCTAAACACAGATGCCGAAGAAATATAAGAAAATTCACCTTCGCAAATAGAGTGGTAGACGGTTGGAACAAGTTAGGTGAGAAGGTGGTGGAGGCCAAGACCGTCAGTAGTTTCAAAGCGTTATATGACAAAGAGTGCTGGGAAGATGGGACACCACGAGCGTAGCTCTCATCCTGTAACACACACTTAGGTAATTACACTTAGGTACATTACACACACACACACACACACACACACACACACACACACACACAAAACACACACACACACAAAACACACACACACACAAAACACACACACAAAAACAAAACACACACACAAAAAACACACACACACACAAAACACACACACACACACAAAACACACACACACACACACACACACACACAAAACACACACACACACAACACACAAACACACACACACACAAAAACACACACACAATCCAGCTTAGAGTCCCAGATATTGTTGCATTATCAGAGACGAAACTTGAAGGAAATATAATAAATGAAGTCATATTCCCAAGAGGCTACTCAGTTTGGAGACGTGACAGGAAAACTAGGAAGGGAGGAGGAGTGGCTGTACTGGTGAAAAAACACCTGAAGGTAAAAGAGTTAATATTTGAAAACCCTCGAGTTATTGACATAATGGCATTGCAGGTCTGGAATCAGGATGATAAGCTGATAATTGTAAATACCTACAGCCCACCAGCAAGCAACACTTGGACAAAGGAAGAACTGGATGACAAACGAGAGGGCCTCATAATGGTCATGAGAGATATTATTGTACAAGCAGATAAAGATAAATCACGACTGTTGATACTGGGGGACTTCAACTTTAGAGCAATAGACTGGGAGGCCTATGAAGCAAGAACGGAGGACTTTGGAACATGCAGATTTGTGAACCTCATTCTGGAGACATTCTTGTATCAACACATAAAGCAAGCCACAAGAATGAGGGAAGGAGATGTACCGTCAGTACTGGATCTAGTATTCACCAGGAAAGAAGAAGAGATTTTTGACATCCAGTACCTTCCTCCCTTGGGAAAGAGTGATCACGTCCTGTTAGACATTAAATATGCTTTAAGATATCATCTAGAAGAAAATGGGGACATTGAAACAGTTGATAAACTCGATTTAAGGAGAGGCAACTATGGGGAACTTCAAAATTTTTTTAATGAGTGTAATTGGACAGAATTGTTGGTAGGTAGGGAAGTAAATGAAATGTATGCCAAATTTTTAAAATTATACGAGGAAGGCACACAAACATTCATACCAAAACAGAGATGCAGGGCCAGAAAACAGGATTGGTTCGACAGAAATTGTGAGAGGGCAAGAGACCAAAAGACACAAAAATGGAATCAGTATAGGAAGAGGCCAAACCCCCAAACATACCAGCGATACAAAGATGCGAGAAACAACTATACAGCAGTAAGGAGAGAGGCAGAAAGAAATTTTGAAAAGGGATAGCAGATAAATGTAAAACAGAACCGGGCCTATTCTTCAAATTCATAAACAACAAATTGCAGGTAAAGGATAATATCCAGAGGTTGAAAATGGGAAACAGATTCACGGAAAATGAAAAGGAAATTGTGAAACATTAAATGAAAAGTTCCAAAGTGTGTTTGTACAAAATGAAATCTTCAGAGAACCAGACACAATAAGAATTCCAGAGAACAACATAGAGCGGATAGAGGTGTCTAGAGATGAAGTGGAAAATATGCTAAAGGAGCTCGGGAAGAACAAAGCAGCTGGCCCAGATGGCATTTCACCATGGGTTCTGAGAGAATGTGCATCTGAGCTCAGCATTCCACTTCACCTGATCTTTCAGGCATCCCTGTGTACAGGAATCGTAGCAGACGTGTGGAAACAGGCTAACATAGTTCCAATCTACAAAAGTGGCAGCAGGGAAGACCCCCTCAATTATAGACCTGTATCATTGACATATATATTATGTGAGAAATGTTTACACAATTCTGATAAAGAAAGAGATCTAGGGGTGGTTCTAAATAGAAAACTATCACCTGAGGACCACATAAAGAATATTGTGTGAGGAGCCTATGCCACGCTTTCTAACTTCGGAATTGCTTTTAAATACATGGATGGCGATATACTAAAGAAATTGTTCATGACTTTTGTTAGGCCAAAGCTAGAATATGCAGCGGTTGTGTGGTGCCCATATCTTAAGAAGCACATCAACAAACTGGAAAAGGTGCAAAGACATGCTACTAAGTGGCTCCCAGAACTGAAGGGCAAGAGCTACAAGGAGAGGTTAGAGGCATTAAATATGCCAAAACTAGAAGACAGAAGAAAAAGAGGTGATATGATCACTACATACAAAATAGTAACAGGAATTGATAAAATCGATAGGGAAGATTTCTTGAGACCTGGAACGTTAAGAACAAGAGGTCATAAATATAAACTAGCTAAACACAGATGCCGAAGAAATATAAGAAAATTCACTTTCGCAAACAGAGTGGTAGACGGTTGGAACAAGTTAAGTGAGAAGGTGGTGGAGGCCAAGACCGTCAGTAGTTTCAAAGCGTTATATGACAAAGAGTGCTGGGAAGACGGGACACCACGAGCGTAGCTCTCATCCTGTAACTACACTTAGGTAAATACACTTAGGTAATAATTACTACCCCAGCTGTCACACAACTCATCCCCTAGAGTCTGCACGGGGATGAACACACTAGCCCAGCTGTCACACAACTCATCCCCTAGAGTCTGCACGGGGGTGAACACACTAGCCCAGCTGTCACACAACTCATCCCCTAGAGTCTACACGGGGATGAACACACTAGCCCAGCTGTCACACAACTCATCCCCTAGAGTCTACATGGGGGTGAACACACTAGCCCAGCTGTCACACAACTCATCCCCTAGAGTCTACATGGGGGTGAACACACTAGCCCAGCTGTCACACAACTCATCCCCTAGAGTCTGCACGGGGGTGAACACACTAGCCCAGCTGTCACACAACTCATCCCCTAGAGTCTACATGGGGGTGAACACACTAGCCCAGCTGTCACACAACTCATCCCCTAGAGTCTACATGGGGATGAACACACTAGCCCAGCTGTCACACAACTCATCCCCTAGAGTCTACATGAGGGTGAACACACTAGCCCAGCTGTCACACAACTCATCCCCTAGAGTCTGCACGGGGGTGAACACACTAGCCCAGCTGTCACACAACTCATCCCCTAGAGTCTGCACGGGGGTGAACACACTAGCCCAGCTGTCACACAACTCATCCCCTAGAGTCTGCATGGGGATGAACACACTAGCCCAGCTGTCACACAACTCATCCCCTAGAGTCTACATGAGGGTGAACACACTAGCCCAGCTGTCACACAACTCATCCCCTAGAGTCTGCATGGGGATGAACACACTAGCCCAGCTGTCACACATTTGTCTCAACACATGAATGGGGTGGCCACACTTGTCTTTCTCCCAGAATCTTGTCAAGTATTCAGCAAATAACATAACCTTTGTGTGGTTAATCCTATACATTGGAAGATAGTTGCCTTTATTCAGTGTAGTTGAGCAGAAATTTACTCCAAAGTAAGCAGATTGTTTCACCAACTATAAACTATGTAAGTGGGAACATTCAGGGAGTCGGTCGGCCGAGCGGACAGCACACTGGACTTGTGATCCTCTGGTCCTGGGTTCGATCACGGGCGCCGGCGAGAAACAATGGGCAGAGTTTCTTTCACCCTATGCCCCTGTTACCTAGCAGTAAAATAGGTACCTGGGTGTTAGTCAGTTGTCACGGGCTGCTTCCTGGGTGTTAGTCAGGTGTCACGGGCTGCTTCCTGGGGATGGAGGCCTAGTCGAGGACCGGGCCGCGGGACACTAAAGCCCCGAAATCATCTCAAGATAACCTCAAGATAATCAGCGTTGGGAACCACAAGCTACAAAATACAACTAAGTCTAATAACTTAGACTTTTAGTACCAGATAGGTAATATGTTTTAAATATAACCAAGCCATGATTACTTATTAGGTGTGAAACCAAACAACTACCCATCAGTATGTCATTATTAAAATTGAAATGATCTTTCACGGCTGTAGATATGTGTACACTCCTACATTATCTTTAATCGTAATCATCTTGCAAAAGAATCGGTGTGTGGATGTACACAACTGTATTAACAAATTACATAGTAGACAGTATTTTTGATGGATCTACTTTCTAAGTGATTTGTGAAGTCATCAGCCATTCTGCAGCAGCAACTCTAGCTAGGTGAAACTTGCTCAATGTTTTCCGTAACAGTCATTAATGTGGTTCATCCATTAAGATGCATGTTCTATTTCAGCATTATCCCCGGCGAAGGCTTTGAAGGCTATGAATGTGGAGAGTGTGGCTTGGTGTGCCGCACGAGAGGGGGCCTTCGCAAGCATCTTACCACCGAACACCTACCCGATGAACCCGAGCCAGCCGAGACCATCCACAAGCAATACGTATGCACTACGCCGCTTTGTAGTTTTTCTACTATGAAGCGGGATGCATACGATCTACATATTGCTAACCACATTGCAGAGGGCTGGACGCCAACGGGAAAGAAACGTCAAAATAAAAATCCTCTTCAACGCCACAGGTGTATATTTAATAGTAATAATAGTTTATTTAGTCGAGAAGCTATGAAACATAATTGTTATACACACTAGGTGATAATAGGAAGCATCCTATCATCCATCCTTTGGAAGCATCCAAAGGGAGCCGGTCGGCCGAGCGGACAGAACACTGGACAAGTAATCCTGTGGACCCGGGTTCGATCTTGGGCGCCGGCGAAAAACAATGGGCAGAGTTTCTTTCACCCTATGCCCCTGTTACCTAGCAGTAAAATAGGTACCTGGGAGTTAGTCAGCTGTCAAGGGCTGCTTCCTGGGGGTGGAGGCCTGATCGAGGACCGGGCCACGGGGGACACTAAAAGCCCCAAAATCATCTCAAGATAACCTCAAGATGATAGGAAGCATCCTAGAGATTTCCAGTAATGTGGTACTTACCTCTCAGTGACAACCAGGGAGTGAGATTTAGCTCCTTATGCCTTGCCATTTATATCTGGCATGCTAATTATCTCTTAACATTATCATTATATTTGTTTATCTTAAAGTTGTGGATGGAATTGCATTCATGAATCTTCCTTCAATGCATTCCATTTGCCAAATATTCATACACGGAATGAGAAATTCCTTACATCTTTATGACTCTCTCTTGTGTCTCCAGCTTCCACTGATGTCCCCTTATCTCACCTCCTTTTAATTTAAATATCTTCCCTGACCACTTTTTTATTCTACTCCAAATCTTGTATGTAGTGATCATATCCCTTCTGTTTCCCCTCTTAAGGTTGTGAGGGTGAGTTCCCTCAACATTGTTCTCTTAGCTGAGTCTTCTCAATTCTGGTACTAAGACTTTGCCTGGCAGCACGCGAGGCCCAGCCCACCCCAAGGTTGGCCTGGTGTTTCCTGTGAGCATTCACCTTCACTAAAATGTGTATACTCTTTTCAGTTTTTACACCTCAATTTTTGTGTTACGTGCAGGCAATGAGTCACAATAACGTGGGTGAAGGATGTTGACCAGACCACACACTAGAAGGTGAAGGGACGACGACGTTTCGGTCCGTCCTGGACCATTCTCAAGTCGATTGAGAATAGACACTTCTAGTGTGTGGTCTGGTCAACATACTTTGTGTTACGTCGTTGATTTTGGTATCAAATTGTTCGCAATAGAAGTCTCTAAAGGAATACATGCATATAAGGGCAACAGGAAGAACAACATTACTAATACAGTACCATAAAAATAAAGTACATCGTCATGTGAAAAAAGTGGCTTTTCGTCATTATTTATTCTCGTTATTCGTTCCCAACATTATTTCTTACACTATTTCATTCGTTTTTGTCTTGCTTCCTTCACACGTGTGTTTGTACCACAATATCATATATGTAAAAAATGAATACACATGTCTGTACTTACCACCCAATGATGTTTGTAGAGCAGGAGTTGAGCATTAGGCTGAACCACAGGGAGTCGGTCGGCCGAGCGGACAGCACGCTGGACTTGTGATCCTGTGGTCCTGGGTTCGATCCCAGGCGCCGGCGAGAAACAATGGGCAGAGTTTCTTTGACTCTATGCCCCTGTTACCTAGCAGTAAAATAGGTACCTGGGTGTTAGTCAGCTGTCACGGGCTGCTTCCTGGGGGTGGAGGCCTGGTCGAGGACTGGGCCGCGGGGACACTAAAGCCCCGAAATCATATCAAGATAACCTCAAGATAACCTCAAGATAACCACTCCACCTGCTCCAGGCAAATGTTTCCTGAAGTTTCTCAACCCATGTTTTATAGGTGGAGTGGTTGGTGGGTAACCATTCCTGCTTCTCCACCCAGTATGTCCTCTTGCGATGGTACAAGCTGGAGCATGGTGCAGCACACAGTGTCACACCACACCACTTGCACTTATACCTGCTGTCCTTCCTTTTACCAGACTTGTAGCAGACATCACACTTCAGACCTTTCTCGAGGCTAACTAGGGAATGGTTCAAGTTTCTGTTCAGACGTTTAGGTATATCCACAATACGAGGTCTTCTCCTAGCAGCGGCACCACTAGGAGTTGTCTGAACCTCGTCTTCTGAGTCAGATGATGATTCTACATTTCGAGGTGAAGAAGGAGCGGCTGCCTCACACCTGATGATCTGGGGGCGGCAAAGTTGTCGCCAGTAGATCTGCTCTCATCGTCACATACATCAACAGGATGTATGATGTTGTCATTTTGGAGAGGCCAATTCTTATACTCAGTAGTGACCAGATGATTACTTCGTGGAACTGGAGCAATGAGAGTATTTCTTTGTATTGGTTCTGTAGTGCTTGTATAACACAAAAGCATTATGGATAGCCATTTACAGAAAGTAGAATGATATTTTCTTCGTCCACTTGTGACATTTCCATGCAAAATGTTAATATTTGACCATTTGGTCGAAGTGATCAACACCTTTCATGTGGTTATTGTAGTCACAGATTGCGTTTGATTTGTTACAGTGACCTTTGCACTGAAGATGTTCCATCAGGTATGCGTCTACATTTCCTTCGTTCCATTTGTTGTGTATCTGCATTGTGGCAAGTTGTGATGAGTGAAACAACTCACTTATCTTTCCACAGAATTATAAAAGTAGTGTCCTTATGCCGGAATACTGTTTTATCTACTGGCAGTTTACCCCTTTGCTTGTGGCTGAAGATCTTTTGGTGCACGACGCTGCAATCTGAGAGTAACACAGGTGTATACACTTTGTTCAAGCAGCTTCTCACTAAGTTAGACTAAGTTATAGTTATTATCCACATATAAATGGTAACCTTTGTTCTTCAGTGGTTCAATCAAGCCCATAACTGATTGAATTGTATTCCCAATTCCTGCATGCACTTCAAAGTCATAAATGTAACCAGTACATGATGGGGCCTCGTAGCCTGGTGGATAGCGCGCAGGACTCGTAATTCTGTGGCGCGGGTTCGATTCCCACACGAGGCAGAAACAAATGGGCAAAGTTTCTTTCACCCTGAATGCCCCTGTTACCTAGCAGTAAATAGGTACCTGGGTGTTAGTCAGCTGTCACGGGCTGCTTCCTGGGGGGTGGAGGCCTGGTCGAGGACCGGGCCGCGGGGACACTAAAGCCCCGAAATCATCTCAAGATAACCTCAAGAAGATGATTCATCCAGCATGTACAGTTAACTCCATACTTATCAGCTTTATTTGGATTATAAACCTTGAAAGATAGACATTGATTCCATGACATTGTGCCTTCATCCACACACAGATTTTCCCGAGGAATGTATACTGTTTTACATGTATGTGTTAAATATTCCATTATTGTTCTAACTTTTATTAGTCAGTCTTGATCGTCTCTGGGAATGGCATTGTTGTTATGCGTATGAAAATACTTTGCAATCGTTATATTGTTTCGCCGTCATAAATGTATTGAACAAAGGAACATGCCACAATTTAGTTGTTTGCCAGTACATAGTCATTTCTGGCATCTTCACAATGCCCATCAACATTCAGTTCCAAATATCTGGCAAGCTCTCTTACACTCACTTCATCCCACTCATTGTTCTTACACTCACTTCATCCCACTCATTGTTCTTACACTCACTTCATCCCACTCATTGTTCTTACGCTCACTTCATCCCACTCATTGTTCTTACACTCACTTCATCCCACTCATTGTTTTTACTCTCACTTCATCCCACTCATTGTTCTTACACTCACTTCATCCCACTCATTGTTCTTACACTCACTTCATCCCACTCATTGTTCTTACGCTCACTTCATCCCACTCATTGTTCTTACGCTCACTTCATCCCACTCATTGTTCTTACGCTCACTTCATCCCACTCATTGTTCTTACGCTCACTTCATCCCACTCATTGTTCTTACGCTCACTTCATCCCACTCATTGTTCTTACGCTCACTTCATCCCACTCATTGTTCTTACGCTCACTTCATCCCACTCATTGTTCTTACGCTCACTTCATCCCACTCATTGTTCTTACGCTCACTTCATCCCACTCATTGTTCTTATGCTCACTTCATCCCACTCATTGTTCTTACTCTCACTTCATCCCACTCATTGTTCTTACTCTCACTTCATCCCACTCATTGTTCTTACGCTCACTTCATCCCACTCATTGTTCTTATGCTCACTTCATCCCACTCATTGTTCTTATGCTCACTTCATCCCACTCATTGTTCTTACGCTCACTTCATCCCACTCATTGTTCTTATGCTCACTTCATCCCACTCATTGTTCTTACGCTCACTTCATCCCACTCATTGTTCTTATGCTCACTTCATCCCACTCATTGTTCTTACGCTCACTTCATCCCACTCATTGTTCTTACACTCACTTCATCCCACTCATTGTTCTTACGCTCACTTCATCCCACTCATTGTTCTTACGCTCACTTCATCCCACTAATTGTTCTTACGCTCACTTCATCCCACTAATTGTTCTTACGCTCACTTCATCCCACTCATTGTTCTTACGCTCACTTCATCCCACTAATTGTTCTTACGCTCACTTCATCCCACTCATTGTGTTGTTAGAAGCATTCCTGGTGCTGGAATGCTTCTAACAAGACAAACAATAAGTGGGATGAAGTGAGCGTAAAAGAGCTTGCCAGATATATGGGACTGACAATGTTGATGGGCATTGTGAAGATGCCAGAAATGACTATGAACTGGCAAACAGCTAAATTGTGGCATGTTCCTTCGTTCAGTACATTTATGACGGCGAAACAATATGTAATGATTGCGAAGTATTTTCATAGTCATAACCAAGCAGAAGGATGAGTGATAATTATTAATAAATTATATTATTATAATAATTATAATAATAATAATGGTTGTATATAATAATTATCACTCTTCCTTCTGCTTGGTCTTGAAGGAAGCCATCTTCGGGTGAAAGAGGGCTGTGACGATCTCTATCTGGAACCCATCTTGAGGTTATCTTGAGATGATTTCGGGGCTTTAGTGTCCCTGCGGCCCGGTCCTCGACCAGGCCTCCACCCCCAGGAAGCAGCCCGTGACAGCTGACTAACACCCAGGTACC